CATTCCACCACAATTCCTTAAAAAAAAAAACTTCATTAAGGTATGCACCGCATTTTGCCGCATTTCGTTCGACGAGCCTTGGCAGTGTAAAACAAACTGATATTTGTTGCATAAAAAGAATTATACGTTGAAAGCTAAAACGACCAATCCAAAACAGGAGAAAATTGGAAAAAAAAAAGGTTCGAGCCGGGATTAACCTCAGTCATGATATCTTCAGCAGTTACTTTGCACAGATAATCGATAAAAATATCTCAAGTTAATATAATACTTCAAAACGTTCTACGAATGGCCACGTCCGAGCTAAGGTGGTGATGCCCAACTTAAACCAAAAATTTTTCAATATAAAAAAGCCTAGCCAAGTGCTTCTGCAAGGAGAACCGTTGAGATTACAGTTCCAACAGCAAGACAATGACAGGTCAGGGCTAGGAGGCAGATCCAGAGTGGCCTGCTCAGGGAAGGGGGAAAGAATTGAGGCTCCTGATGGGGAAAGGGAGCGACCGGAGGTATGGAAGAGAGGCTTCTACAGTTCTAGCACTGCTACCTGTGCTAATTGCGGGGTAGGGACGGGGAGGGACGACAAAAGACCTATCGCCCCCTCTTTCCCTGGATCTCCCTACGTCAGGGCTGCATATAGCTTGATCACTACACGATACACTACTAGTCAGAGAAACTGGAAAAGTTGCCAGCTGCTTTGCTAGGGAACCAGATAATGACGGGTTACAGCTAATCCAACTACCCCAATTAAGTATACGACCAGAAACAGCCCCCCTCCCCCCAGGATTTAAGTTTTCCAGTCTCTGAGGTTCTATATTGCAGGAAAACGTAAAAAGTACGCAAATCTCCTAGTTTCGGACAAAAATTCGTGAAAAATCCAACGGCAAGCTAATAGGAATGTATGCGACTTGATGGACCGAAACATTCTCATTCTGATTTTGATCTTATTTTATTCACATTCCCTTTTTTATTTCCTTACAATCTTTCATAAACATATACCAACTAAAATTAAAATTAAAAAGTGAACCTTATGATGATTGTGAGCGCATCTTTTGGCACTTCGCGATTTAACCAAAAACGACAATTCTCAAATAAATGCCGTCGTTTTTCCAGATCTTGTAACTTTTCACTTAGCAAATCATCACCAGCATCACCGATATCAACATCTATTTGTTCTTCCTGGTAATCTTCACGTCTCGACAGTGGATATGCCAGGCAATATACTCCTTCCTCTGATTCATCATCTCTGTCACGCTAAAATTCACGGTGATCACATAACAAAGAAACAATATTTGTTACGGTTAGGAAGGCCTGATAAGGCCTGTCACAGTCAGGAACGCCTTGTGATTACATCTCAGCAACACCGAGGATTTCATATCCACCGTGCGGGCAACAGCCATAATTAAGTTGTATAGTTGGCAAAGGTTATTTTGGCATACCTCTTCTCCCTTTTTTTTTTACCTCGCCCCCTCCCCCCACCCTCATCCCTTTATTAGGGCCCAAAATTAAAAGAAACCAATGTTACCAGATGGGAAAGGAATTTTCTGCTAGAAGCAAAAAAAGCGACATTCAAACTCCACATTTACAACAAAAAATTCAAAAGT